ACCCATTTACCGAGTTTATTGATCTTTCCCATTGCTCGTAAACGTCTGCTGATTGTTTCTTGTGATACATGTAATGCTTCTGCTAATTGCCGTTGAGTTTGAGTTGGGTCATCATCCAATAACTCCTGCAATTGCTCGTCTTCGCATTTTTGTGGTCTACCAGAGCGCTCACTGTCTTTCATATTGAAATCACCACTTTTAAATTGTCGAAACCATGTCTCACATGTTCTAATCGATAGAGCATGTTCATCATATGTTTCTACCAGCAAACGATGACTTTCAATAGCCTTTTTCTTTTGATTAAATAAAAAAAGCAATGCGTGCCGCAAATGTTCTTTTTCAGGCACAAAACTCGACATGATCACTGAACGATAAAACAAAGACGCTAGTTTTTGGCGGACTCAACTTGTGTGTGTTTGTAGTTTTAAATGTCAGACGAACAAAATGATGTATGTGTCAAATTAATACGCTGCGTACTTTTCGCTGGCGACATCTCTTAGTTAAACCGGAAAAAATTTATGTTTACACCTGGTATATCCATATTCATATACATATTTTTATATAAAATAAGTAACTTTATTTAACTGTGGAGAAAAATACTAAAATTAATTAATTATTGAATGACAAAGTTCAGAAGAAAATTAAAATGTTAATATTAACATTACTATTTTACATAAACGTTTCAACTTGGCTTTAGATTCTTTGTAACTGGTTTTTATAATCGTATATTTAATTGGTAAATTTTATAATTCTTTCATTTTTTGTTGAAACAAGAATATTTGAGAACCAAAGATATTTATTTATTTTAACATTTCTTTCTCTTGCAGATTTAAATAAGAGAGTTACATGAAAGTTATCAATGTTCAAAAGAGAAATAAATGATACCTATACTAAATGGAACTAATATGTGTGTACAAATGAAACTCTAAATTAATGAGATTAATAAAATTATAGCTTTAGTGGGTTGTTATCTAGATTATATTCATGTATATGTAATTATAGAAAAAAAATCAAGTATAAAAATGTCAAGACGCGCTTATCGAATATGAAAGATGGTTAATATTACAAATGTCTGATACCACTATAATTATCTTTTTAAAAAGAGGTAAAAAAAGGGTGTCAAGTATAGTGGACGCTTGAAAAAAAAAGAAGCTGTTGTTAACCAAATTAAAAAATAGAATCCAATTGACAATATCTTTTATTTTCTTTTTATAATTCTCCAACCCATGTGATAGTAGTTTTAATTCTTTAAAAAAAGTT